ATCATAGAGGTCCTTCACTTCTTTGGTTAAGTTAATTCCTAGGTATTTTATTTTTTGTGGGGTTATTACAAATGGAGTTGCTTTCCTAATTTCAGCCATACTTTTCTCATTGTTGGCATACAGAAAGGCCATTGATTTTGGGGGGTTAATTTTATACCCTGCTACTTTGCCAAAGTTTTGAATCAGCTTGAGTGGAGTCTATGGGATTTTTTAAATACAAGATCATGTCGTCCGCAAATAGGGAGAGTTTTATTTCTTCTTTCCCTATTTGGATTCCCTTTATTTGACTTAGTCTTTCTAAAGAATTTTACTATTTGAGCTCTCCCATAGAGTCTTTTGTAACCCCTTGCATACCACCCAGTGTGCTCACTTATAGATTTATAAGTATATTCTAACTACCACAAATGAGGGAAACTGTGCAACTTTTGTTTATCTGTGTCTGGCTTATTTCACTTAACGTAATTTTTTCCAAGTCTTTCCATTCCCTTAAGATCAGTACAATATCAAATGAACACTGAGATTTTACCTCATCCCAGTTAGAATGGCCAATATCAAGAAAATTGAGAATAACAAATACTGGCGAACAAAAGGAAACTCTATTACACTGCTGGTGAGAATGTAAGCTTGTTCAACCACTCTGGAAAGCAATAGGGTGAGTCCTCAAAAAACGAAACATGGAGCTGCCCATCAATCCTACTCATGGGCATTTATCCAATGGAACACAAACAAGTTTACAATAAAACCATCAGCACAACCTTGTTGAATTGTAACACTATTTATCATTGCTAAGGTATGGAATCAGTCCAGATGCCTCTCAGTGAACGAATGGATCAAGAAAATGTGGCATATACACACAGTAGAATTCTACTCATCCATCAGCCATGCAGTTTAGTGCCTCAGAGATGAACAGAGAAAGGCCTTTCTAGGCTAGCTCATTATTTCTTTGATATTATGGCAACCTAACAAACTTAGCAGAACTCCTGACTCACTTCTTGTTCCCATATATTCAAAGATCTTTTCTAGAATTAGTTCAAAGAAGAACTAGATCTTAGTTCTTGTGACCACTTCTTCCTACTCTTCCAAGATCAAATTCTTCACCTTGTTTGTACCAATAACTATCGCCTTTTATAATTTCAATTTCGAGTGGTCCTCTATCTATCCTCTCTGATTCTAACATTCCAGACCTAGTGATTCTAACATTCCAGCTCCAGTGATTCTTCTATCTCATGTGAACCTTCATACCCACTTACTTCTTCATGATACCATTCAGCTTCCTCACATTTACCCTTATGAAACCATACTCCTACTTAATCCCTCATTTCCTTTACACTCTCTGTACTTTCCTGACCAAATGTTATCCCTAGCTAAATGTTGCTGTCCATACTCCATACCTGAATCTAAGGAGTTATGTATTCCTAGAAAAATACAATAGTCCTCTAAATTTAAGACATAATGTCAAATGGCTCCTTTAACCATACTAAAGTTCCTATGTCCAATCACTAGCATCTTCCTTAGGGAACTCTTCATAATCTCACCCACTATCTGACTACATTGTATGACACTTCCTTTGAACTCTGATACTTGAGTCCTATAGACCATTTGTTGTTCTTCTAAGGATGCAGGCCAGCTTTGGCCACCAAGGTTTTGCCTTTCCTATTCAATTTACCTAGAATACTTCCTTTACATGACTGCCTGGCTGGGTCATTAATGTTCAAGTTTTTCTACAAAGGTCACCTGCTTAGTGAGGCTTACTGGAATCTCACTCAGTCATTCCTCAACTCTATCTTTCTTTTTGCCTTATTTATTTCTATAGCTTTTGTTACTGCTTTATAATAAAAATATTGCTTATATTTCTTCATTATCTGTCTCTCTATTTAGAAGGCACATTGCCTGAGGGCTAAGATCTCTATTTTGTTCATTACTCTGTTCTTAGTGCCTGGAGCAGGCTCAGGTAGGTGGTGGTCAGTAAATATTTATCAAATGAATGAATGAATGTTTTCCTATACTCCATTAAGGAATTTTTCCACTGGACTATTCTCTGTTCCATTTAACTTACAGAGTATATGCTTATTTGTTACATTTTAAGAATGATTTATCAGATCCCCTTTTTTCATAGTAAATATAATATTTTAATCTTCAATGCAACTCACACTCCCAGCTATCAAATCTTATTAGGAAGCTAAGCCAATCTGCATTGAAGATATAAAAATATTGGCAGAAAAAAATATTGATAGATACATTATTTTCAGAGTACCCTTTGTGGTACACAGAGACAGAATTGAGTCAGCATATATTTTAACTGCTAATAATGCAGCACCAGACAATGGTGTACCTCCTGATCTGAGTTATCTTTGTATGTTATATGTTTTAGTTAACTGCCATCATTGTCCAGGCATGTGTCACAAGTATTTAAATGACAGACTGTGATCAACTAGGAAATACAACCCCAATGTAACCTTCAGTTTGGGCTAATTACATGTTGATTGCTACTAATGAGCAACCTATTTAGAGTAAACAAATTGGTCTGATAGATGGAAATACTAAAGAACAGTTGCTATATTGTTTTGTTTGTATTGTAACATTTATGTCTGGAAGAAAACTTGCTATGATTCTCTCTCTTTCTCTTTCTCTCTCTTCTCTCCCTCCCTCTCTCCTTATCTCTTCCGCCTATGCCAGCCTTGGGGGTTTGAACTCAGGGCCTAGGCATTCTCTCTGAGCTTTTTTGCTCAAGTCCAATTTTCTACCACTTGAGCCACAGCTCTACTTTGGGCTTTTTGGTGGTAATTGGCTTTACTGCCTTGGCTGGCTGAGATCCTCAGATATTAGCCTCCTGGGTAGCTAGGATTACAGGTGTGAACCACAGTGTCTGGCATATGCAACTCTCCTTAACAAGCCACATTAAAAAATTACTTTCCTTTATATGTTACATTCTCAACACTTTTATATATGTGGTATAATTGTGTATGCATTTGTAAGTGTGGAAATTGTCCCAATACCCCAAAACAGTTGGGTACTATCATACAAAGCATATAAAGCATTATTATTTTTCTATTTATTTTTATAAATCCACTGAAACATGTCCAAATGGGAAACTAGTTTTTTTCAGCATCATATGAGTAAACAAATGAAGGTTAACTGTCTGTGTATTATCTCCTAATATGTAAACGATTTATACAATTTAGCTCCAATCATATCCAACTTTTGCCATTTGCATTGATAATTGTAACCTTCTTCTGAAACAAAAGAAAGCATATTGCACATGTGAATATTCCCATATAGTTCTTTGGCTTTTTAAGTTGATTCTACAATATTCTCTACAATATTCTCTCTTAGGCACATACACACACATACACATACATAGGTGGATATAAATCTGAGATTACTTCGACAGATTAACAATCTAAGAATAAGAGATTATAGCAATATACATTTACTGATTGCAATATTTTGTTATAGTTGTGCAAATTATTGCCATTGAGTAATCTATTATTTCTCACAGCTACATGTAAATTTACAATTGTCATAAAATCAAAAATTAAATATAGCCGGGCACCAGTGGCTCATACCTATAATCCTAGCTACTCAAGAGCTGAATTGATACATTCATACATCCTACACAAATTCAAGAGGCTGAATGCTTGAGACTCTTAACTCCAATTCACCATCTTGGAGTGGAGATGTGACCAAGAGCCAAGCAAGAGCATGTGGCCCTGAGTTCCATCCCCAGTACCAGCACAGATAAAAGAAAGAGTTAATAAGTCAATTACTGTACAACACCTTGTTGTTTTAACACGACAACAACATCATAGCACACTGAGTAGAGATTGGAAATTATATGGAATTTAATTCATGAAAGTCTAGAAAATGTCCTTGTGCTCTGTAGATGGGAGATAGTGCTTTGCTCCTTACTTTGGGGGATACGTCAGAAGTCTTGTCCTATATACATATCTCATTTGTGTTCAACTCAGTTCCCACACATCTTTATGTTCCTTTAATCCCCAGGTCTGTGTTTCTAAGTGCCCAGAAAAATTTTTAACTTATCTGGAAATGCAACTTTTGTCCAAAACAGACAAAAGTTATTGGGAATACTACCGTCAATTCTGTAAGCCCACTGCTCAGCCTGCCAAGGTATGTGTATTTAAGCTTAAAACTGGAGACAAATTTAACTTTTTTTAAGTTGCAAGTGTAATATGACTCATTTATTACTGAACAAGTTCCTGCATCTAGGAAATGGTTATTAAAGGCATTGTTCCATTAAAACAAAATGTACGTGTGAACTCATAAAACACATACCATTCATAAAATATCATTCTATAAACTGGGTATATTATGAAAAACTGCTAAGTCTGATAAGTTAGCTTTTCAGCTATTCACTGACATGAACAAGTTCTGTACATGTTTTGTTTTGTTCTGTTTTCAGCTAAGAGCTAGGATTTAATGTCCTCTACCAACACTATTTCACTAATGTGGAAACTCAGTAACAAGAAGTTTACATCAAAGCCCACCCTGATAATAACCCCTTAAAAAGAAAAAAAAAGATGGAGATTTATAAGGGATTTCTAAAGCTTTATTATATTAATAGTTGGTAGGTCAGAGAAGATGCTGTTTTTCCAGAAAAACAGTGAAAGATCAGAGACTTTACTCATGCACTTTTCTGGGTGCCACTTGGCTTCAGGGAGTCAGATTTTATTACTATTGATCTTATTAAAGTATATAAAAGAGTTTTCCAAGCAAGAAATGGTTTGTAGTAATCTTATAATTACTAGTATTGAGGGAATTATTCAGAATAATGAAATTGAAAGAGTTCAATTTTTAAAGAATGAAATTTTTATATTGAGCATGAAAGTAGTTATCATACAATCATTGGTGTGTTAACATGTTCTTCCTCTGTTTCAGTCTCTCACAGAAGTCTTATTGAATGGTGACTGTCCAACAGCAGTGTTTCCAAGCAGACCTTGTAAGTGATGATGAATTTTACCAGGAATTGCTAGGCACTGGTTACTCATGCCTGTAATCCTAGCTACTCTGGAGGCTGAGATCTAAAGATCAACGTTTGGGGCCAGTTCAGCCGGACAAATCTTGGGAGACTCTTAACTCCAGTTAACTAGCCAACAACTGGAAGTGGAAGCATGGCTCAAATGGTAGAGCACCCGCACTGAGAAAAAGCCAAAGTAAAAGATAAGGCACTGAGTTCAAACCCTGGCTTAAGCACTAGGAGAGAAAAAAAGAAGAAAGAAAGGAAGAAAAGAAGGAAGGAAGAAAGGAAGGAAGGAAGGAGGGAAGGAAAGAAGGAAGAGCAAAGGAAAGGAAGGAAGAGCAAAGGAAAGGAAGGAAGAAGGAAAGGAAGGAAGAGAGAGAGGAAGGAAGGAAGGAAGGAAGAGACAAAGGAAGGAAAGAAGGAGAAGGAAGGAAGGAAGGAAGGAGAGAGAAGGGAGGGAAGAAGGGAGTGAGGGAGGGAGGGAAAAGGAAAACAGAACCTACAAAGTTACCAAGTTGAATTAAGTCTCCTTATGTTATAATAGGCTGGGGCCAGGAATGGTCTGATAACTGGCCCTAGGTCATAAAATAAGGAGGAAATGAATGTAAATCCCATTCCCTCTCTCCAGTCAGAATCATTTCCACCTAAGCTCAGTGAGATTTGGGCTTTCACTTCATAAACATACAAGAAAAATCCTGAATTTTTTAAAAAACTTATCAAGTCAATTATCTGGAAGTTTATGAAGCTATATAAGAGCAAACTCACTCATGTATGTGTGTGTACACACACACACACACACACACACACATACATATGTACACACATTTATATAAATTTTTTCTGTATTAAGCCTAGAGTTTGATTAGAAATAACCTGAGGAGTGAGTGTGCAGGGAATATACTAGTCTTTACAATTTGCATTTAAATCTTTATGTCTTGTTAATGAACCTTATTTTATTTCTTAAAATTTTTAAACTTTAATCAGTCTAATTCTCAGTTTAGAAAATAATGAAGTGAGGATTCATTTTCCTTTCTTAAGGACATAAGTCTAACTGCAGAGAGAAACTTTTCATAAAGATATCCATCAAAATATCCACGAAAGGGGTTGGAGGCATGTCTCAGTTCATAGAGCCACTAGCTTGAAAGCATTAGTTGGAAGGCATCAGGTACCAAGTTTAAGTCCTTGTCTAGGACTTAAAAATATTCATTCAAAGTAATAGTAGCAACAATAAAAATAATATAAAACAAACACTAAAACAAAGAGAAAAGTAAAACAAAAACACTGCTATAATGAAAATGATAAAATCTTGAAGTAATGCAATGCACTCATTACACAAACTATTTTAGAATTATTAAATGTAAATACTGCAATAACATGCATCAATAAGCTCAAATATTAAATAAATGCAGATTGATATATCATGATAAGCATATAGAAGTTAAAATGAACAAAAATAAATTTTTTGAAGAGAAAGAAATACACTATAGTATTAAGAGATGGCTTAGAGTGTGTGGTAAAATTGTGGGCATTTCCAGTCTTCTTTATTCTTTTTTTCTGTTACTCTGTGTTTCTACAATGAGTATTTCTTTTTAATTTTTTTGTCTAGATTTTTTAAAAATTTTATTGTGAAATACTGTACAGAGGGGTTACAATTACATGAGCAAGATAATGAATACATTTCTTATCAAGCATTGTAGCCTCCTCCTTTGTTTCCCCTTCCCATCCATTCCCATCCTTCCCCCGCCCCCCCACCCAATCCTCCCTGCTACCACCCCCCACCAAAGTTGTAAAGTTCATTTTTTGACATAATGACTTGTACATCTCATTGTTGCAATGGGTCCACCTGTATCCCTACTTGAACAATTTGTTTTTCCCCTTCCCCTCCACAAATTATACCGACATCAAATACAGTGAAAGCAGGGGTTATACTGTGGGGGAGGGACATACAAAGCAACAAAGAAATCATCTTATAAATGTGTTAGAAACAATCGCATGAAAGAAAAAAAAACATTTGAATACATATCTTAGGGTTCATTTCCCTAACATCAACTTATCTGAACTTTCCTGCTTGACTCAGACATATACTAGATATTGCAAATAAGAGAAACCATGGGACCTATGTTTCTTTGGGCCTGGCTTACTTCACTTAATATAATTTTTTCCAAGCCTTTCCATTTCCTAACAAATGGGGCAATGGCATTCTTGGAGTGAGGTGGTATCTCAATGTCTTTTAAAATTTTTATTGTTATTATTATTTATTATTCCTGCACTCTCTCCTAGTTTTTCCCTCCTGTACCCATGCTCAAGTTATATAGTTCATTTTAACATAGTGTCTAGTGAATATTACTGATGCATTTGTTCACCCTTTGTCCCACCATTTCAGTGCCCCCCTGAAAAAAATGAACAAACAAGACAAAAAGAGAAAAAACAGAAATGAAATCAGCAATGAAGAAAAAAATACCATTTCGTGGAGTTCATTTCAATTAATACTATTTTCTATGATCAGATGCACATAGACATTGCACTTTTGTGTTCCTCTCCTAAGAATATCCTCCTTTGGTTTCATTGTGTGAATGCCTAGAGTCCTGTTTAATTTATCATATTCCAGTGTATATTAGATTTAACTTTTGTATCAGAAAGTAAACAGGCATTGTTTGTCTCTCTGAATTTGGCTTACCTCACTTAACATGATTTGGTCTAGGTCCATCCATTTCCCTGTAAATGACATAATATTATATCTTCTAATGACTTTGTAAATCCATTGTGTATAGTTACCACATCTTTTGGATCCATTCACCTGTTGTAGGGCATTTGGGTGGTATGGCTGAGTTATAGGGAAAATCTATGTTTAATTTTTTGAGGAACATCCAGACTGCTATCCAGAGTGGTTGTACTAGGTGACATTCCCACCAGCAGTGTAGTGCATAGGATTACTTTTCCCCCAGATCCCTGACAATATTTGTTGTTGTTCAAGTATCTATTTCTTTTAAGAAGAAAGACACATGCATTAGAGTAGCTACTGCCATATACATTTCTTAAATGCTCCCTTTACTCTTGTCTGGGTCATTAAAAACCTCTGAGCAAAGCTTGTTCTACAAATATTATTCATCAGAAAGCAGTAGGCAATGGCTATTGGTAGCCAAGAATAATATTAGAAGTTTGATCTAGAAAGATAAAAATAAATCTTTAGTCCTGGCAGGTGCCGTAGGTATAAAACTGTAAGACATAGTCTTAACCTTACAAGTGTAATTTGGCTAAGTCATTCAATTGAAAATGTACAATGAGGATTCACAAATGAATAAGGTATAGTGTCTAGTCATAAGTGAGGGCAAATTGATCCCTCTATTGTGTGTATTTTAAAAAGTCAGCAGGTTTAAAATATTGCTTCATATTGTGATCTTATTTGCTGTCCATTTTATTCTGAGAAGCATCAGAAAACCTTTCAATAATCATATAAAGGGCAAAAAGCTATCTTTTTCAAGCAATTTACATGTTCAGAGGAACTAATTATAAATAACAGGAAGTGTTAGAATGGAGAGCATTGTGGAAGAGGTAGAAGAGTGACCCTTGTCCTTGTGCTTTACTTTCACAGTTCTCCACCGGTGTTTCCCTGACTTCTCCACGAGAAATGGCACTTTAACAGTAGGGAGCAGAATACTGTTCGAAGATGGAAGTGGAAAGACAAGAAATGCTGTAGAACTCAGAGAGGCTGCAAAGTACACTGGTTTATATATCTATCTTCAGTTTCAATGCATGCTTCTATTGAACCCAATAGGAAAGCTTTCCAGAGGCCTACGGTTATGGGAATAGAATTATGTGTCACAGTGAAATGTACAAATTGCTCCAGATAGTGGAAACTTGGTAGATATTCATGAAGAAAAGTAAGTGAAGAGGAGGAATCAGAATGAATTAGAAAGAACAATCAAAATAGTGAAGGCTCTCATTATCAGTAGTAAAAGAAATGTACCATAAAGATGTGATTATGCATATCAAAGTCCTACATATGAATGATAAAGAAGTAAATTTGATGTTTCTTTTGATGTACATACATACTACTATACATTATGGAGAAGTATCTCCGCATTTGGTGTTCACATTCATATGTGCACAGGCATAAACATACAAAATGACACTGCATAACTCATGTGCTAAATTAGACATTTAAACTAGAAATATTCTAATTTTTTCTTCTTCTTAAAAAAATTAACAAGTAGAGTAGAGCTCAGGCATAGTTAGAATAGAACAGCCATATGGGTGTAAAGATCTGTAAAAGAAATCCATTGATATAAAATGAAAAAGAAGTAAAACTAAATTAACTTGGCCAATAACACTGTTTTTTTTTACTTAGAAAACAATATTGTCACAATGGTCTAGATAGTGGTTCCTTTAAGGAAGAGGAGAGTGTTGTGATCAGGGCACATGAGGGAAGGTCTGGAAATTCTAGGCTTGTATGAGTGGGCTTACCTTGATAATTTAACAAGTTAGATGACAATGGTTTAGAACACTCCTAGGTGTGTGTTCAATCATGCTTTACAGTTATATGGTTGCCACTGGAACAGAAAGGAGGATTGAAGTCCTGTGTCTTCTCAACTTTTTAAGTTTCATAAATTAAAAGCTGATCTTGACCTTTAATTTTACACAGTGAGGTTTCTACAATAAATGAGAATATGCAGCATGAACTGCAAAATGATCTACCCAGTGTTTCTGAAAGCTAGGTTCTCTGTGTGTAGCTCTGCCAATCTTTGCAAAGTTTATACACTTTTGCAGGCTCATCCACCTTTGCAGGCTCACTGAAATGAGGTTTTATGAACTGATGTGGCTATAAAATGGAACACTACTACTAGAGGGTTTCTATAAGCATGCCTTGAAAAGCAGCTTGGGACATCTACTTTGTCCCAAGAGCATCTCTTTTTGAGTGTGAGTCTCAAAATAATTAATTTTTCTTCTTTGAATTTAGTGGCATCAATAAAATCCTTGATGCAAGGACAGTTGCAATGAAAGTGTTTGAAGACTATGCAACAACTTGGTATTGGATTCTCATGTAAGTGAAAACACATGATGTTTCTTCTCCAGAACTCTGCTGATTTTACCTTTGTGGAACATTTCAAGTTCTTTATTCTTATTCTTATTTCTGGGTAAAAAGTTGATTGAGATCTCAAGTAGTGCCATTTTCTTTTTGAGATGGGTTAAGGATTAAGCAAAGATATTTAAAAATATGTCTGGCATTAACAGAATGTTGTAAAAGCCAGCTGCCTATGTCTTTTCCCTGTAATCCTATATTACAGAGATATGAGGATAATGGTTCAAAGCCAGCCTGGGCAAGAAATCCCATGAAACTCTTAACGCCTATTAACTAGCAAAAAAAAAAAAGACTGAAGTGGAGCTGTAGCTAACTACCAAAAAAAGACTGAAGTGGAGTTGTAACTCAAGGGATACAGCACTAGCCTTGAACAAAAGAAGCTCAGGGACAGTGCCCAGGCCCCTGCGTTCAAGCCCCAAAAGTGGCACAAAAACCAAAAACAAAAACCCCTCAAAGTAGAGCTGTGACTCAAGTGGTAGAAATCTAACCTTGAGCATAAAGGCTAAGGACAGTGCCCAGGCCCTGAGTTCAAGCCCCAGTATTGGCACTAAAATAAAAGGAATGCACATTCAGCAGTATGCATATTGTTCTTCACATGGTTCAGTGTGTAGACATGGTGTTATTTCTCTTTTTGCATCCAAAGGATCATTCCTAATTTCTAAACATGTACCATATAATAGTTGCTATTATTAAAGCTCATTGTAGTGAGAAGCTAAAAACATCTATGAAGAATGGGCAGGTTTTTAAAACTTTCCTGGATTCCTGGAAAGATAAAGGCAGAACTTACCTACGGCAGTATAAATATGTTTGACCAATGTTTATTATGAGCAACTGGCTCTCTTATGCTATTTTCTAGAGCTTACAAGTTTTTATGGTTCTCTAGTGATGAAAACTAAAGTTAAAAATTCTTATGACATTTCTGAGGTCCCTGATAGTCTATTCCAACTAAGCTTTTCAAATTTATCCCATCTATATTTTCTGATCAACTTTATATATTCTTAATATACCAAGTAATATGTCTGTCCCTAGTCCATCAAATCCTATATCATAGCACATTCTGTTCTGTTTCTTGTGTATCATGCTTCTCACGTTGCTCTACCTCATCCTATAAAATCAGTTTCATAGTACGAAATCTTTCTAGTCTTCACCAGATAAATTATTTCCCCATCTTTGTCCTTACGTCAATCATGTGTGTGCATACACCTCTACATACACATATCTACTTATCATCTATATAGCACCTAGCATTCTGTAATTATATATTACCTAATATATAATTATATAGTAATATAATTATAATATATTATATAATATAAAATTTACATAATGTAATTATATATAATATATATAATCAGATACATAATCTATAATATATATAGACACATAATTATAGGCACATAATTTATAATATATTAATTAATATACAATTGCTATATATTAATAATAATATATAATATTCATATATAATGTATAATGAGCATTGTATATAGATATGTAATTATATATAATTATATGTTATATATTATAATTATATATAATTATATATCCCTTCCTCTTATAAACTTGTCAAATCTTTATGATTCTAGCCAGACCTAGGTCATGTTTACTTTCCTGACTTTTATTCTAGTTTTTAGAACATCAAAAAAATGTAGGATTGAGGAACAGTTATGAAATCACTAGGGGAAACTACTTAGATTCCACATATTAAACTGAATGAAACTTAAACTGAATGAAGCTTACTGAATTTAAAATTTTGTATTATATATGAAGTTCTAGTGCTTTTTAGAGCTGTATAACTAGACTGTTTTCTGAGTTTATTCATTTTCATCCTTTGTCTTTAGAATTGCAGCCAGTAGGTGTGTTAGGATATATCTACTATATCATAGTCAGTCTCTCTCTCTCTCTCTCTCTCTCTGTCTCTCTCTATATATATATATCCACATATATATGATAAATCTGCTATATATCATAGTCTATACTTCACTGTAGTTTGACTAGTTGGCTTGTGGTCAGACAAGTCACTTAGACCATTTCCATGTATGTATGTATGTATGTATGTATTTATTTATATTTAAGTAGTTGTACTGAGGGATTTCCATTTTAATTTGCTTTTATATCTATATTTAAGTATGTGTATTTTATTATGGACTCTCCAACCCACCACACTCAGACACATACTGAAATTCCCTCTGTAAACCACTCAGGCCACAAGAGATTCAAGTCTTATCTTTATTTTCAAACTTCTGCTCCCTTTTATTTTATAAAGGGAGAGCTAATGTACTAATATTATGAGACTTTGTGTTTACGTTAGAACTTTTGTGAAATAATTTTTTTAAAAAACAACTTTCTTTTCCTACTCCAATCTTTTAAAATATTTTCCCTTGGACTATATCAAAGAATAATCCTTCAAAGAATAGACTTAGCATTAACGATATAGAGATTTACAAGGGAATGGATTTTGGAAGTTAAAAACATAGACTATAAGATTGAGAAGATGGTTTGACACTATGCTGTCTTCTATCTAGTGACAAAAACAACTGAGTTGTTTTAAGATAACATGTGAAAACCAGTAGGTGACTCACACTATTATTTACATGGAGACTGGGTGACCTAAGGTTAAAAGCTATCCTGGGCAAAAATTTCACAAGGCCCCTCCCATCATCCAATAAAAAGCTAGATGTGATAGTATATGCCTGTCATTTCAGCTAAGTGGGAAGTATAAATGAGGATCATAGTTCAGGCTGGCTGGGAATAAATGTGAGACCCTATCCCAAATATAATTAAAGGTGTATCTAGCAAGTGTATCTAACAAGTGTAAATCCCTGAGTTCAAACTCTACTACCACCCAAAATTGAAAAAAGATAAAACTTGAGAACCCATTCTGTCAGTGGTTGTGATTGAAAATTTGTAGATAGCTCTGGATATGTCACCAAGTCAGCCAAGTTTCCAAACTTAATGAGTTGTCACTGAGGAAACAACATCAACAGAGACCCCATTGTCACTACAACCTGGACATGGTGAGGGCAGTGGGAAGAGCAGGAGTGAAGAGTTTCTTTAGCAGCTAGACCAATTCCAGGGAGAAATTAAACAGAGAATTTTTATGCTGTTAATTTCTTGAGAAGTCATATGGACCAGAAGATTCAGGAACCCTACAGATGCTCTAAATAATGGCCCTCAGAAAGCAGGAACAGGCAAGAAATGTCTAGCATTGCAAACTATTTAAGATAAGTAAGTCATAGTGATAATGAGTACAAAATCATGACTCCAGGAACTCTGCAGTCATTTTTCTTGGCCTTTTGCCTTGAGTGTACAACCTTTACTCCATACATCCATATAGATGATTTCCATTAGTCACCAGGTTCAGAAAAAAACACTGATTCATCATGGGTACATGATGAATTGTAATTTATTATTAATATATTTGTAATTTATTACTTAGGAAGAAAATGTGAAAGAAAAATAAATATGACAATTGTAGCAAGCAGATCAAACTCATAGGTTCAGGGAATCACAATTTTTTGAACAGTGAGTAATATTCTACACTTAGGCACTCAAAGATATCTCCCAAATAAAGTCCTCGATTGGTCTACACTTTGATGTGGGAGTCTTCATGAAAACCATTGTTTAGACTCTTTCATCTTGCGCATGTTTCTATAATCAGGTAAAATAAAAGAATAGGAATCATTTTGAATAAGAAAGACCTTGTCTGGTACTTGTATGATGTTGTGCTTAGCATACTTGACCCCTCTCTCTCTCTCTCTCCCTTTTTTTTTCCTCCAGTGGCCTGACTATCTCCATGATCCTTAGTTGGGTATTTTTGATGCTCCTGAGGTACACAGCTGGATTTCTCTTCTGGTTCTTCATGTTGGGTGTGCTTGGAATTCTAGGATACGGTAAGCATCATTTCTCCTAATTGCCAAATACTGGAATAATCTACTTTAATTACCATTATCAATTTCCTGAAAGCATTTACTTGCCTTAAATAACTGCCAAAAATAATCATTAAAATTTTGGAAAAATATTTGTAATTTTACACATATCTCTCTTTTAAAAATTATTTTCTTAATTATCTTAAGAAGTAAGTACTCTATTCTTTTCCCTAATAGCCACTGTTCTCATGTCTCATGAATAATAAAACAGAGGTAAAAAGAATCTCTTTCAGGGGCTGGGAAGGTGGCTCAGTGGTAGAGTGCTTGCCTTGCATGCATAAGGCCCTGGGTTCGATTCCTCAGCACCACATAAGCAAAAAGAAAAAAGCCAGAAGTGGTGCTGTGGCTCAAGTGGTAGAGTGCTAGCTTTGAGCTGAAGAGCTGAGGGACAGCACCCAGGCCCAGAGTTCAGGCCCCACAACGGGACTAAAAAAAAAAAAAAGCGATATTTGTTAAACAAAAGAGAGGCTGTAAAAGCTGTATAATATCAGACTAAAGATATTTTAAAATAAAAATTATTATTAGGACTAGAAAGTTTCACATTTAGACTATCAGATCCAAATAAAATATTCACTGTGTAAGTATAAATCCTACTTTGCAGAAATGACTATACTGATTGGTTTCATGTAGACATGTGTGATAAATATATAGATTTTTTTCTTTTCTTTTCAAGGAATATGGTACTGTTATCGTGAATACAACAAACTTGAGGACAATCCAAATTCTTCATTAAGTGTTTATGATATTGGGATTCAGACTAATATTAGCATATACTTCCAATTGAAACAAACATGGTTCTCAATAAGTAAGTAGATTTTAAAGACTAATTTTTAAAATTTTAATAATGAGAAAGTGTCTTTTATCTAAGATATATTTTAGTCTGTGCAACAAATGTATTGATAAGTGTTCTTATCACTAATGTAATTAGTCAAGTGTCTATAGACTATAGGAAATGAAAAAGTCATTGAGGAAAGTTTATTGTATATCCTGAGAAAATACTATTCTACAAGGTTTGCCAGCCATTTACCTTCAAATGGCTCAATTATGAATCTTTAGTAAAAACATTAACTTGATGCTAAGAAAATTTACAAAGAAACAAATGTTTGCTTTTTCAAACTTGTTTCAAAAGAAAATAAGAAATCAGAGGGTTTCTTCATAGCAAGACATTTAAGCTATTTATTGTAGCAATTGTAAAAAAAACTAGAAATAAATTTACCTACTGAAGTCTTTGAGATGATATCAAAACAACTTTAATCTTATATATCTTCAGAATGGTTTTATTATAGTATTCCTCATATTTTCTAGTTTTGTGTTCTTTAATGTAATATAATTAATGTTCTTTAAAAAGTCATCTTTGGCTGGACATTAGTGGTTCATGTCTGTAATTCTAGCTACTTAGTAGGCTGAGATCTGAGAATTGCAGTTTGAAGACAGCCTGAGCAGGACAGTCCATGAGATTCTTATCTTTAATTTTCCACATACTCAAAAAAAGAAGTTTAGAAGTTGGGTTGTGTCTCAAGTAATAGAGCACTATCCTAGAGCACAAAAGCTCAGGGACAGTGCCTAGGCCCTGAGTTCAAGCCCTAGGATCTGCAGTAAAACAAAAGAGAAGGAAGGTAGGAAGGAAGGAAGGAAGGAAGGAAAGAAGGAAGGAAGGAAAAAAGGAAGCAACAGGGAGAGAGAAAGGAAAGGAAGGAAGGAAGGAACAGATGAAGAAATGAAGGCAGAAAGAGAAAGATAAAATGTTGTTTAATAATGCAATTTCAGGATACCTGTAGTGATTCTGATTTATTTCATTTTCTTAAGTTTATTCAAAGATAGCAATCCTAGCATATTAACCTTCACAACTTTGGATTTGAGTTAGTTTTCAGAAAATAAATACACAGTTTAAAAGATCTAAATATATGATGATGCCTTATTAAGTTTCCCCACATCTCTGTGTTAACTGAGTTCTACTTATCTGGTGACAGTACCTGATCCATGACTAGTACCAGATGTCAATGGTATGCCAATAGGATGAAGTCATCAACATTGTAGTTGTTTAGACACAAGCAGAATAAATATTTAGCAAAGGAGAACATAAGAGGCACTCCTTCATGTGGGAGGCTTTTTCTATCAAGTATCTATTTTTATGTTCAGCGGCTTTTATTTGTAGCATCATATTTTCTTGATTTTTAAAGATCCTGACCTTTCCATTTCTTAATATTTCTTAAATCAGACTGCATCTTTAAAATTAAAAAATAGATACTTAGTAAAAGGTTTATTTACTTTTCTGTAAAAAGTTTTTACTAAACAAAGATGTTTGTTAGAGTCAAAGAAATGTAATTATTGAGACTATGTGTTTTGAAAGTAAAAAAAAAATTCAGCTATGGAATAGAAAAATCAAAACAATTTGAGGATAGAGAAGGGGGTGTATTACAAGAATATGGCTCATAAAACTCAAAAGACCAGAACAACAGTCAGACTTCCACTGAATTCTAGAAAAGCCAAAAGAACACACAAGATTTCCCCTTTATTTCTTATTATACATACTTAATTCCTCCTTTCAAGATTTACTTTCCTCACATAAAGTTGGTTTAGACACAGCTTTTTTTAAGTTCATATAACTTCCAGTCTAAAAATAAATCAGATTTTCTTAGTTTTGATTCTGTATGTATTAAGGATTTTATTGGCCAAATTGGGTTGGTTTATAATTCATTTCCATCAAAAGTGGCTATGTTTGGATGGAGTACCAAAGTTAAAATATAGCAGTTAACACCCTGCCCTTTCGGTCAGCAGGGATGACTAAGAGGCGTGGTGAGTAATGTGAACAGCTTTAAAGGTTCCTTCTGAATGTGCTTCTTACCTTACTTATGTAACTGTAACCTTTCTGTCCATCACCTTTATATTAAAATTTAAATTACAAACGTCACAAGTAGAACTGCCTGAAGCAGCCTTTCCTTCCTTTCTCCCAAGACTGAAATGTTACATTATTACAAACCTAAGTACCATCCAGATGAGCTGTTCAAGTTCTACCTAAAGGGTTTAGTCTGGATTTCTTAGCATTTCGTGGAGGTCCTGAAATTAAATTTCTAAGATTAACCTTGTGGAGTTCTGGCATTGCTTGGATTATGCAATGTCAACCTTGACAGATCCTTGACAGAAAAAAAAATCATGAAGCTCAGTGCTTTTGAAACTTTGTTGCTGTGATATCGATTTGTATTACAGACTGATATTTTTTTCCTATTCAAAGTGATAATACTCAGCATCCTTGAAGGGACCATCATCCTGCTGCTGATCTTCTTCAGGAAACGAATCCATGTTGCCATTATCCTACTGAAGGAAGGGAGCAAGTAAGACCCTTACTGTAGAAACCCAATATATAAAAATCAATTAAATATGATGGCCTGTACTACTTTCCCTTTAAGAAGACCTGTTAGGGATAGAGCACAGGATTATTGGCCTATAATCCTAGCTATACCCGAAACAGAGGTAGGAAGAAGAGCAGGCCAGCCTAGGCAAGACAGTTAGCAAAATTCTATCTCAACAAATAACTTTGATGTGGTGATTCGTAAATCCAAAGTAAGAGGATGACATTTGAAGCTGGCTTTGGGGAAAACATAAGACCTTATTGAATAATTAAATTAACGAAAAGGGCTGGAGTATGAATGCAATAAGATGCCTGCCTATCAAGAGAATTCAAATCCAGTACCGAATAATAGGTTTTTGCTTATTTTTTTGTTTGTTGGTCGTGGGACCTGAACTCTGGGCTTGGGCGCTGTCCCTCAGTTCTTCACCTCAAGGCTAATGTTCTACCACTTGAGCCATGGCACCATTTCTGGCTTTTTCTGCTTATGTGGTGCTGAGGAATTGAACCCAAGGCCTCATGCATGCAAGGCAAGTGCTCTACCACTGAGCCACCTTCCCAGTCCCTGAAAAATTCTTTTTTTAATTTTTAAAAAAAATATTTGTTAGCCGGGCGCTAGTGGCTCACACCTATAACTGTAGCTACTCAGGAGGCTGAGATCTGAGGATAATGGTTCAAAGCCATTCTGGGTAGGAAAGTCCACAAGACTTATATCCAATTAACCACAAAAAAAAAAAGCCAGAAGTGGAGCTATGGCTCAAGTGGTAGAGTGCTAGCCTTGAGCAAAAAAAGGTCAGGGACAGAACATAAGTTCAGAGTTCAAGTTCCAGGATTGGCGCACACGCAAACACACACACACACACACACACACACACACACACACAACTATTTTCTATTCAGGAAGGCTTATTGAAGTTCAGATGTTGCCACATATTAGAAAAACAAACTTCAATAAACCTTTAGAATTCCCAAATCTCAGTTGTGAATGGCATAAAACAGGATAGACTCTGGTTTCTGCATTAGCACTTTTGAACTGTAAGAATATATTAGAACAATACCACACATAAAATAAGTTAACCACATTCTATATAAAACTTAGCTCTATTCTAGATTATAGTGTTCCCATACTGGGCTATATGTTAATATTAATAATTAAGATAATTTGTAGTACTCCAAATCACCATTCTGTTACAGAATCCGTTCTGTGCAATTACCCTTTCTGTATGAGTGGCAAATTTTTCTAACAGAACCATTGATTATAGCAGCACTAGAGTATACATTTTTGTATATAAAGCTCATAATTCTGGGATGGCAATATCAGAACAATTTTGATTTTTAGCTCTTCATAAACTTCATGCTGGGAGACAATAGCACCTATGACTTCTAAGCTATTCTAAAAGGTCACTTGAGGATAACCCAAACTTTTAAATAATGCTTGAAAGGAACAAGGGGAATATTTCTATTAAAACAACAGACTATACTCTTTACTTTGAATGATGGAAACTAAGCTGGTAAGGTCCAAGAATCAAATTATTTTTAATTGTCTTTCAGGGGCATTTGCACAAAACTGCCATGTTATTATCATAGTGGTGCTACCTGAAGCCAGTGGTTTAAACACTTAACAAGCTGTTTGTTAAACTCTCTCTTTTCCCCCACAACAACTGAAGCCTTATCATTATCCACTGAAAACTACATATTTTCTAGCTTTATTTCTTAAATAATATGTTATTGTACAGTTGACTGTAAGTTGCCCCACTTGATATGACCTTGTGTGTATGTGTGTGTGTGTGTGTGTGTGTGTGTGTGTGTGTGTGTATAGGGCCAGTACATCTGTGCCAGGTTGATAGTTTGCTCAGGTAAAATTAGAACTGGAAAGATAACTATAAGAATACAAAGTATACTTAAGGATTCTCAGTAGTTCATTTACACTTGGTATGTAGAGATAGAAGAAAATAGCATAGCTGAAATAATAAGATGAAGATGACAAATACAGGAGATATCAGCTCATGTCAATACCTTTGCAGTGGTTAGATCTCCATGGTATTTTTCAGGGGCTATATCAAAGAATATTGGGTTTGATCCAACATTATATATGAAACAATCATTTAAAAGAAGAAGTTAAAAACAGCACAACTAGGCTGATTGTACAAACAATGTCCTATGAGGAAACAGCAAAGAAATGTTCATCCTGGAGAAGATTAAAAGGATAGAGACTCACTTGAGTGAATAAACTAGTTGAGGTATTATAAAGAGTAGGCAGATAAGAACTTGCCAATATTTTGTTAGGAAAATGGAATTAGTTGTGTTATGTAAAATTAACTTCCCATCAGTCAGTATCTTCACAAAGTTTACTCAATTGGATAGGGGGTATGTATGAATCATGAATGAGTTTCTACAGTGTAACAAATAATACTTGGAATATTTAATTTTAAAAGTCCCAGAATCTGGGCTGGGAAGGTGGCTCAGTGATAGAGTGCTTGCCTTGCATGCACAAATCCCTGGGTTTGATTCGTAAGCACCACATAAGCAGAAAAAGCTGGAAGTAGCACTGTGGCTCAAGTGGTAGAGTGCTAGCCTTGAGCTGAAGAGCTGAGGGTCAGTGCCCAGGCCCAGAGTTCAGGCCCCACGACTGACAAAAAAAAATTCCCAGAATCTAAACAAAGGAAGAAATCTCTTGATTATAATGTATCAAGAATTTGGGCTGGGAAGGTGGCTCAGTGGTAGAGCGCTTGCCTTGCATGCCTGAGGCCCTGGGTTCGATTCCTCAGCACCACATAAGCAA